CATAATTATTACCTAGTTGACCGTGAACTAAGCAATGCGGGACGCTAGTCCATAGCAATGGCAAAAAATGTTTTCAATGTCATAAGGCGCATAACACATTATTACACTTAAAAATAAATAAGACGGAAAGTAATGTCACTTCGGAGCAATATGAAGATAATAGTGAGGAAAAACCCACAGCGAGTAATGTAAGTGTGTCGGCACACGCATCGGCGATAAGCTATATAGACGGATGCTCCTATCAACTGCAATAATTAATGTATATAATAGTGATGGCAATCCGGTAAGGTGCAGAGTGTTGTTGGACTCCGGCTCGCAAAACAATTTTATCACAGAGTATATGGCACAAATGTTAAATTTGCGACGCAAAAGAGTTGCTTATGATGTAGCTGGGCACACATTGCATACAGTAAAATCTGAGATTACAATAATGGTAAGTTCTTGTATTACAGATTTCAAAGCTAATATATCATGTTTGATAATACCTTGTATAACTAACAATATCCCAATAAAAGCGATAAATACCGAGTCTATAAAGATACCAAATAATATAATACTAGCTGATAAAGCCTATAACAAACCACAACGTATGCAAATATATGTACAATATATGTTGATGGGCGTAGAATTGTTTTTTGATTTATTGGATAAGGGCCAAATTAAATCAAATGAAAATGGTCCTACATTGAAAGAAACAAAATTTGGTTGGATTGTGGCAGGCCCAGTCAATAATAAATCAAATTTAAAAGAGGCACAAAATATTTCTTTAAGTACGTATCAAATAGATGATAATTTAGACGAAAAATTGCGAAGTTTTGGAGATTAGAAAACATAGGTAAAAATACTGATTATACTTTAGAAGAAAAAGCTTGTTACGATCAGTTTATTACGACAGTACGACGTGACGAAGCGGGCAGGTTTGTAGTGCAGTTGCCGTTCCGTGAAAATATTAGCAAATTAGGTAGTTCTTATCAAAGCGCATTCCGGCGATTTCTGTCTATCAAAAAACGATTAGCACTAAATACAAAATTAGGTAAAGATTATCAGCAATTTATGGATGAATACCTATATCTCGATCATATGGAACTGCTGTGCAGTGCGGGGGAAGAGTCGGTCAATGAACCCGACTATTTTCTACCACATTACGCCGTAACAAACGAGAGTACCTAGTAGTACCACTCGTCTGCACGTAGTATTCGACGAATCTAGTAAAACCGATACAGGCATTAGCTTAAACAATATACTATAAAAGGGCCTACAATACAAAACGATTTAGTCAATATTTTGGCTAGGTTTCGTACGCACAAATATGCGATATCCGGGGAAATATCAAAAATGTACCGTCAAATTTGGGTTACACCGGAACATCTAAAATATCAAAATATATTTTGGCATGAAAATAAAGAACAACCTATGCAAATATTTCAGTTAAATACGGTCACTTATGGCACTGTCTCGGCATCATTCTTAGCTACCGTGTGCTTGTATAAATTGGCCGAAGATGAGTATAGTAATTTTCCAGAAGCGTGTACTGCTATAAAAAATGATTTTTATATGGATGATTATCTAGGTGGAGCAAATACGAAGGAGATGGCCGTACAATTGCGTAATGACTTGCGAACAGTACTACAATCGGGTGGTTTTAACTTACGAAAATGGGCTGCAAATGATTCGGGGTTATTGCAAAATTTAAACCAAGGAAATAATGATGCTATGTATATGGCGAAAATTCTCGGGGTCCTGTSGCATCCTAGTAAGGACATATTTAAATATAAAGTGCAGGACACAAATACAGATAAATCAACAACAAAAAGAAACATATTGTTGCAAATAGCCTCATAATGATTCGACCCACTAGGTGTAGTGGGGCCGATAATAATAAAGGCAAACATTTTAATGTAAGAAATGTGGAGRTTAAAAATTGATTGGGATAAGCCGGTACCAGCGAAAATGCACGAGGAGTGGACAAAATATTTACATGAGTTAGCAAACTTGCGTGAGTTGAATATACAACGTTTTATATGTACGGAAGATAATTGTAATATAGAGGTTCATGGTTTTGCTGACGCCAGTTTAGCCGCTTATGGYGCACGTATATACGTACGCACGACAAATAATAGTGGCGTTTGCACGTCGCATTTATTGTGTGCAAAATCTAAAGTTTCGCCTTTAAAAGTTATATCRCTTCCGCGATTGGAACTATGCGCGGCCGTAATTTTAGTAAAGCTGTACAACAAAGTAATACCGAAATTAGGTATAAAAATACAACGTCGTTATTTTTGSTCGGGTTCTTCAATCGTCATAGCTCGGATAACTTCACCCTCTAYGCGTTGGCAAATATTTGTTGCGCACAGAGWAGGAGAAATTCACGACCTCAGTTCAATAAATGAATGGCACCATATTGGAACTAAGGACAATCCCGCGGATATTATTTCGCGAGGATGTAGTGCAAAAGAAATTATAAATAGCTCGATATGGTGGCACGGACCAAGCTGTTTAACCAACGATCATAAAAATTGGCCAAAGACGGTTTGCGAGTTAAGATATACCGAAATACCGGAAGAGAAGGGTACACAGAAAACTGCTGCATTTTTAGCACAACCGGTAGTAAACGAAAAAATATTAAGCAAGTATTCATCGTGGAAAAGATTATTACGTATTTTTTGTCATTGTTTGCGTTTTATAAACGAAAATTTCGAATAAAAAAAAATGAAGGTGGTYGGTCCAATATTATCYGATGAATTAAAAGAAGCTGAAGTAATTATATTTAAAATAACTCAARCGTCCTATTGGTCCAGTGAAATAAAGGATTTAAATGAAAATGGTACTTTAACGGTAAAAAGTAAATTACATAATTTACACCCTTTTTGGAAGGCGAAATTATACGAGTTGGCGGTCGCATAAAAAATGCCAGGCATGTGGACATAACACAGCGACATCTTAACTCCCTGTTCCTCTGATCCTACTAATACTACACCATTAACACCTGCTCACTTTTTAATTAAAGAGCAAACATGTTCTTCAMCCTAACCAGATTTAACTGGCGTACCGGACAATCGCTTAAAACGTTGGCAGCGAGTAACTCAGCTAACTCAAACACTATGGCAACGCTGGAATAAGGAGTACTTTACGCTCCCGGTGGATTCYCAATTCCTTGAGTGGAAATGACGGGCCGCTGTTGCTGCCGTTGAGACGGGCCTGGGTGAGTTTCTCCTGCTGCTTCTTGGATTGTGCGGGTTGTACACAGTCCCTTGCGAGATGATCATCTCCTTGGCATCTGTGGCATCGTTGGGCCTTGGGCTCGTTACTGCATTCCGCGGCAAGATGGCCTTTCTGTAGGCAGCGACAACAGGTGGGGTGGCTCTTTTCCAGCAGCTTAACCCTGCACTTAGTCCATCCTACGACGACTGACTTACACTCTGCCAACGAAATGGCGTCTGCAAGAGGCAGGCTCAGTCTAGCCACGCGTTCGGCTCGACCGCCAGCGTTTCTCCATATTTTTACATCTTCGGCTAAGATGCCGTGTATTCCAGCGCGGTCTTCAACCACCTCTTCATTCTCCACCCAATTTGTGATGCCCAGTAACAGGACGGGAGTCTGAACAACTGGAAGTCTGACCCTAACCGCATCACCGGCAATTGCCCTGATCTTCTCAGCTAGGAAGTCGGCTTTGTCGGGCCCTTCTACCTCTAGAAGGATGCCGCCAGCTCTGGTGCGMCTCGTGGTGACTACTTTAACCCCTAGGGAGTCCAGGTTAATGCTAGTGGAAATCCTCTTCATCACTGTAGCCAGTGGATCACTGGCTGCAGTCCCTCGGCTGGACGATCAATCGTGACTGCCGCGGTCTTGSGGTTTCTTCTCCGCAGCAACAAAATTGCTCCAGYTGTGGTTGATGATGTTGCTGCTGCTCTAGCAGCTGTAGTTGCTGCTGTTGCGGCTGCTGATGTGGCTGCTGCGGTTGTTGTTGCTGTTGCTGCTTCCCTTGTCTCTTCTGCTGTGACTGCCGTTGCTCAGATTGCTTCTTCATCTTCTGTCGTGGAGGTGGGGCCTCCGGCCAACACGGAGTGTCAGTCCCTGTGTTTGAGGTTTCTGGTACACCTAACCCAGCCTTGTCTGTGTGTGGACAGACTTTCACTCCTTAGGTGTGGGTCATGGAACGACGGTCTCCGTACCTGCATCTCCTGAGCCGACTCGCCTGTGGGGTTAAGCGTCCCTAACCTTTTTAAGCTGCATCACTACCATAAGTGTTTTAGTGAGCGTCTCCTTCAGCTCTTTGTGGACATTTCTGGTGTTGCTCGTAAAGGTTGCCATGTTTGTGACACAATGCTGCACCATGTTAAACAGCTCCTCCTCTCCAAGTGTTAAAATGTTGAACGTCTTTTTCTGCATTTTATCAGTCACGTTGGTTGTGGGCCGTGCAGTAACGTCAGTGGCCTGTCTACCACCGGAGGGAGTCTGTTTCACACTCCCCCCACCAGTTGCGGTACCAGTCCCTTGCCTGGCTCCGAAAGCCTGGCTCGCCGCTTCCGAGATTTTGGTGTTTGGTTGCAATGACGACACCTGGGGCGAACAACGTCTCCCAACCGCCGGCTCTAGGGCATCCAATTCCCTTGAAGCAGTAACTTGCGTTTCGTTAGTTGAACTCATCATCTTGTTTGTTGGTGGCTAAGCCGACACCACCGCCGCCAGCCTAGCAACGGTTGACTTGGTTCCGGTCTGTTTGCTTGATCTACGAGGGCCCCGAGCGGGCGATCGGGCCACCCGTAGGAGTTTTGACCCAAACTCGTAGGGGGATTTGCAGTTACCTTCTGGGACCGTTCGCTGTAGGTAGCAGGTGGACCAGTCCTGCCGGCCCCAACGTGTTAGGTCTGGGCCGGCTCTGGTTTACAGTTTCCCTCTGGGTCCGTTTGCTGTTGCTAGCAGGTGGACCAGGCCTACCAACCCCAACCAGTTAAAGTAAGGGSCRGATCGATGTAGCACCAGGGGTAGTGAGCCCTGATGGTGAGCTTATCCGCGACCGCTTATTCGTCCATCCCGAAGGTGTGGCTTATTTCGCGGCTGGCCTGCATATCTGCAGGACTTTCCCCTATCCGCAACCTGGGGACGCGCCCGATGGCATGCTCGTGCAGCCGAGAACCTAACCTAACCTAACCTAACCTATATACAACTATRCGGATAATAGATATACGGTTGAAGCATTGTGTTGTTTGGGAGACGTGGTTTCAAAGATCGTGACGTCAGAATAGACCTCCGCATTCCAGCCGCTTGCCCACTAATGCAGTAATGCGCCAAAACACTATCATTATTTACCATAGGATTCTTGTGACTTTTCTACTTGTCGACTTATTACGGAGAAGAATAAAACAATTAATTKAACTTTAAAGTAAGTAATTGAATATTAGAATATTAGTTGTTACAAATTACAATGTACTGCAGAAGTTTAAATAATAAATCTATAATCTATCTTTGAAGTTATTACTTACATCTWTAATTACTTTATATATCAATGTAAACTGTAAAGAATTATATTATAGTAATTTAATTACTTTATATATCAATGTAAACTGTAAAGAATTATATTATAGTAATTTATGGATCAATCTTGTTTTTAAATATGTGTTAATTATTATACTTGCACATTAAGTAATAAGGTTCCTGAATTGATACCTATATAAAT